ATATTGCTTAGAGTTTTTAGCCTAAACTATTTACAGATTTTCATCAAAAAAATAATGTTTATTACAAAGAACCAATTTTACAAATAAATATATAAAATAATAATAAACTGTGTTTAGTTTAGTAAAAAACATAAGGGATTTATTCATCAAATTAAAGCTTTAAGATTTTTAATCATACAAAGAAAATGTGTAAACGAAAAAAAATAATAAAAAGCAGTCTCAATCAGTCATGGTTAGACGAAAAACATTCATTTTCTGCATTTTGACAATTTTCCAAACCATCAACGATTTCTTCTGATGAGGTAGAATCTGCCTTCAAGTGTTCTTTGTAAAAATTTAGTTCAAGTAGTTTAGGACGGCTTCTCCAATTTTCGCCATAGTGTTTGGAAATGAGACTATTAATAGACTATTTATCCATCTTTAATTCTTTTCGCGGTGGTGATTTCTTAGCAGCCATTGAAGAAAGAGGAAAAAGTTTCTTACAAACGCTTTTAGCTTTTCCAGCGTCATTTCAGTAATTGGGTTCACCCTGGACTAGAATATTGTTGCCTTTTTTTGTAAAAAATAAACTGCTTTGCCTTATTTAATTTAAAGTGCCATTAACTTCTTCTTCTTCAAGTGCCCTGTCCGTTGCGAACGTTAGCTATTAACATGGCAATTATTATCTTATTTGCGGCGCTTCCGAATAGTTCGATCCATGTGAGCCCGAACCACTTCCGCAGATTTTGGAGCCACGAGAGTCTTTTCCTGCCTGGCCCTCGCTTACTGTCTATTTTCCCCTGGACAATCAATTGTAGTAGACGGTACTTATCGTGTCTCAATATGTGGCCTAGATATTCAAGCTTTCTTTGTTTAATTGTATTCACGATTTCTTTCTCCTTGTCGATTCTTTGGAGTACCTCTATGTTGGTGACATGTTCGGTCCAGAATATACGAAGAATGCGTCGGTACACCCACATTTCGAATGCTTCTAGTTTTCTCGTGAGCCTTTCTCTCAGCGTCCAGGCCTCCACACCATATAGTAAGATCGGAAAAATGTAGCATTTAACTTCTTCTTCTTCTAGTTCCATGACCGTTATCGATCGTTGGATATCATGTTGGCTACCATATTCGCTTTTTAGCTAGCATTTAACTAGACATAGTTTTAGGGGAAGACACAAATCCTAGCTTATGAGGAGCTTTTTCATATTGTTAAATGCTGCTCTAGCTCGTTCTATTCTCGCCTTAAGTTCTGTGGCCTGATCCCATTTTGCATTTTACGTTAGTGCCAAGGTACACTTAAGATTCTACATGGCCAATTAGTATGTTACTTATCCGTAATTGTCGAGCAGGTTGTTGCTTTTTGCTTATCAGCATCCACTTTGTCTTCTTAAAGTTGAGGCTCAGGCCGTATTCCTCAGTTATTAAATAAACTCTTTCGGTATATCTTATATTGTTCGTTAACTCGCCGTTTATTTTTATGTCCTCATTTGCATTTTCCATACATTTGTTAAATATTTTCTCGGAATAAATATTAAATAGAAGTGGAGATAAGATACACCCCTGACGGACACCTCTTTTTATCTACACACTTCCAGTCAGTTCGTTGCCAATTTTTGCTCTTGCTGTTTGACCCCAGTATAGGTTTGCGACAATTCGAATGTCCTTGTCGTCAATACCTGTCTTTCGCAGAATATATATCAATTGTTCATGATTGACATTGTCAAATGCTTTTCTAAAATTCACAAAGCACAAATATACGCCCTTATCAACGTCTTTACACTGCTGTATAAGCACCTGGAGAGCGAAAACTGCTTCTCTAGTTCCAAGTGCTTTCCGAAAACCAAACTGCGATCTATTCATACGTCTTTCATCCATCATATCCATTATCTCATCAGACATCCATTCTTTCTTCTTCTGCCTGTCACTCTTTAATAGAGTCGGGCATGTTTGATTGCTTCCATCGATTTATCCCATCTCTCTATTATGTCCGACATGTTCTCGTTAATGTCGTTTATTTTCTTTCCTAGGTGTTCTCGTACTTTTATTTCCGTTTCTTGGTTAGTGAGTTTCTTAATATCAATTGTGTTTAAATTAGATCTTTTCTCGAGCCGTTTTACTCTCATGACCATTCTGCATACCAACAGATTGTGGTCCGTAGGAACATCGGCACCAGGGCATCATTAACTAGGCAGCTTAATAACTTGTTTAGTTTGTTTCCTCCTATCAAACACATTGCAATCCATAACGATTTTCCGTACAGTGGAATTATTTCTGATTAATTCATTGTAGACACTAATTTTCACGATAAAAACCATTTTTTTAATGTCTTTTTCTATAAGGTCGAAAATACGATTAGGCGGAATAAAGGAATGGCGGACGATTGGAAATATGAATTCAATTTGTTTAATATGGTTCAGCGATTATTCTAGAAGCCAATAAGCCAACATTGCCATCAAACTCGAATTTTTGTTTTGTACTATTTCTATGTTGATATCAAAATCAAAATTCATTAGAGCATGTTGCAAAGCTGTCGCTATTGTATTAGAATCTTTTCGAGAGTCAATTTCTGTCCACACGTAAGAAAACACATTTGTTGGTCTTAGTTTATCGGTAAAAGTTCCAGCGACAACTATAAAATTATTATAGTTTATTTCTGGCTGAAATATGCTGCTTGATCAAGAAATCTAGGTTGCCTGTGTTGTAAAAGTGTTAAAAGTAAGGTAGTAAGTAAAAAAAGTAAGTTGTAGATTTTTAACGAGTTTGAAAAAAGCCTTTGCTTTTACAAAATGAACACGATGCTCAGTGGCTAACTTTTGCTGAACAACTAAAGAAGTTGCTACTTTTAACTGCTCCTTTGTTCTTTTTTTGTGCTCCACTTGCACTGTTGCAAGTGGAGCAACAGTGTGACGGAAATTTTGCCTACCACATAGGATATTACTATACGAGGTTGAAAATTGGGGACAGAGTTAAGGATAGGGTAAGCAAAAAAAGTTCCAATCAGATCGATTGGAACTAACGGATCCCTTCCAATATCCTCCAAGATTGACTGTGCTATCACCCTTTGATTTTTTTGTATGAGGCTATTTAAAAGGAATCGTTTATGACAAAGATCTGCAGATGTAGCCGATTTAAAAACTGAGGTTCGACAAGCGTCTAATTGGACCGATTAGCCAGTTTGATGCGTGTGTTGAAGATAGCAAAAGGAGGTCATTTTAAATACGACCTGTAAAATTATTTCACATTCTAAAATTTTATGGATTATTATATAATATTAAAATGAAAATTTAGCGGACTTATTTAAATTAATACCATCATTGTGGTCCACCGTCGAATTTAAAATAAAAAACCCTTATATCTGTCTGTTTCATCTTTCGACACAGCATTCACCCACCTGGTCGATTAATTTTCTTCCATTGCAATGAGGTTACAGCACGGATGGTGACGTAACAGATCTCATATATACATCAATTGATAGTATTATAGGTCCAATTGACATTTTCCAATTTTCAAATAAAAATATTTATTACTTCCTGAATTATAGGTTAAAAACATCTTCGAACACCCTGTATGTGGACGTACATGTCCATGACACAAGAAAATAGCTTCAGAACAATATTAGATTAATGCATGTTACAAGCAAAATATTAGCACTAAAACAAAGCCACAGATATAACTAATATTTTAATAAATTTTCAATTAAAAAATTCATAATTTTTTAAAATAGCATCTGAAACACTGCACTGAGATAATGGAAAACGATCTATCAACATCACTAAATAAAATTCAGCTGAGATTTTTCTTGTACCTTATCAAACTAAAATAATACCTACGACGAGTACAATATTACCTCAAACTGGTATACCTTTAATATAATTTCTACCGAATTATTTGCTAATATAGCTAGATGACGACTGGTTTCATGATTTCCCCATTATTTTCTATTTAAACGCTATGGACTTAAAATATGAAACTCCCATTTGTAACACGACTAACAGTTCTTGCTTAATTGCCATCATAATTCTCAACACTTATGATATATGTTTGACCCGATGGTTCTGGATAACTTCTAAAGCCTTTTAATGATTAATATGTTTAACTTGAGAACTAATTAATCAACATTTCTATGGTTTGCTTTGTTGGTACCGACACATTCAAACAAAAGATAAATAGGTATTTAAAATGTAAAATTGTAATGATAATAATGCCCCGAATGTTAACGTTTCAAAATAGGATTCGTTTTCGTTATTTTTGATATTTCTAAGAAATCTTCGAGATTCATTTATCTAAAGTTCCTATTAGATATGTTATACAAAATTTGTCAGTTTAATGTAGAGTGATATTTATATAAAACAAACTTAAACGAAGTTTAGAAACTTCTATTACAATTGGTCTGTTTAAACTGTAATAAACAATTATCGAGTTGGCTGGTAACTTTCGCTGGACCCAGAGCTCTTTAATAGTACCTCTAGCTAGAAAATACTACAATAAATAAAAATAATAATGGAATAAACTTGAACAGGAAGAATATATTAATTAGGGTACAATACAGAATACATTTTTTAAATTCAATCTTTTAAACCTTATGGTATATTTTTAAGTATTTCAAACACGTGTTAGCCTGTTAGTCTTGTGGATACAGCAAACAACAAAACAAAAATGATTAATGTAGCGTGTCTTTATAGTTATTTCTGTATATTTTCATTTCTTTGTCAGTGTTAAAATTTATCAACAAACCAAATGGTTAGTCTGTTTAACAGAAATCTGTCTTACATGTCTTATAAAAATGCGATTCTTTTCATCGTCTTCATGTATTGGTAATATCAATCTAAAATATTAATAGTTTTATGTGTGTAAGCAAAATTGTAAATATAAACAATTAACACATGTCATTGTGTCATATTATGTTTAGAGCGTGTTGTTTTATATAAGTTAATTCAAAATTAAGTTTATTATTATTTTTTAAATATTAATATTTCAGACTATGACATAATTGCGCTTTAAAGTGTATTTTATTACAGGGATCCAGGAGAGTCACCTAAGAGAAGACAATATAGAACAGTACATCAAGAAACTTTACAAGAAACGGTAAAAAGTAAGTTTTTTTTTATATTTATTTGAGAAGCAGTACGGAAAGGTCATGGTTACAGAATAGCGAACAAAGAAATCTAAATATTATGTTATGCAGACGACGCCGCAATCGCCGAGACAGAAGATGAGCTCTAAAGATTAACACACATCTTCAGTACAACAGCAAAGAAATACAATGTGATAATATCAGCAGAAAAAATAAATGTATGACAACGTCTAAATACCCAGTACGATGTAAAATCGAAATTGATGAGAAAATAATAAAGACAAGATACAAAAACAAGAATCTATAAAGCAACAATTAGACCTATATTGACATACACGGCGGAGACAAGACCTGACACATCTAAAACGATACGACTACTAGAAACAATAGAGATAAAAATACTTCAACGAATATTATGAATATTATGGAGAAGTCTGTTGGATAGGGAGAAAAGCGAAAACCTAAGAAGAGCATGCAATATAGAAGGCATAAATGGATGAGTCACAAAACAGAAACAGGAGTGGAACTAACACATGAGTAGAATGGAAAAGGATAGGATAGTACGACTAGCACAAGATAAGTCACTAAATAGACGAAGAAGTTTTGGCAGTCCAAGAAAGAGATGTTGTGATAATTTAGACAATTTAGGAGGCTAATATTGAAGAAGAAACCGGCTTTATACATATCTTTTTGTCTGGCTTCACAACTCGAGAACTCCATCTTCTACGATCTTGTGCTGTCATTTTCCCTCGTTGTACCCCAATCGTAGACGACTCTGTTTCGACATCATCCTTCCAACTTTTCCTGGCACGTTCTACTGATCGTCTACCATCTGGTCTCTCAAAAAATACTGTTTTTATTACTCGTCCCCTGATTTTACCACATGCCTTGCCCATCTAATCATTATGAATTAGCTTTTATAGCCTCAATATGATTATCTGTCTGGATATGTTTTCACTACAATATAGAGTACTTTTTTGACAACCTTTATTTCAAATACCAACAGCTTACTTATTTTACTACCATAAGAAATAACCTGTCGAATAATTGACATGTACAGTGTTGGATTAGATTATTTTTTAACACAGTAAATCTCAATAATGTTGACAGAGAGTATAATGCTTTATTCCCAACAGTTAATCTTGTTGAGATCTCTTTTTCTACTTGTTTTTGGTCTGTGATTTCTGCCTTCAGATACTTAAACTCAGTTACTACTAAGTTGTGATTATTAGGAATTATGTATGTCTCTAACTCTAGACCTTCGATTTTTGGTTACTAACATGTCTTTCGTCTTGTCTTCATTTATTCGGAAACCCAGATTACCTGCTTTCTCCTCGAATTATGAAAACATCTCTCTCATGTTAAATAAACCACTGTATCTATATCATCAACATCAGTTCTGAACCTTGATATTCCTATTGCTTCAAGTCTTTTATTTTATATCTTTTTTTCTTGTGAATATGATCTTTATTGAATTATATTCGATCTGTATTGCTTGCTCGTTCCTCGATACCCCGCTCTCGTCATGGCTCCTCTATATTCAAAGTCTCTCATTTTGTACGTTAGTCCTTTATGCCACACTATATTGAAGGCTTTGCTTACATCCAGGTAAGCTGCTCATGTGCATTGTGTGTCGTTGAATCCAGCTGCTACGTACTCTGTAGTCTGAGAATTTGTAATCCGCTGCAGTGTTCTGCTCATAATCAAAATTGAGCTTCTGAAATTAGTCCTAGCCTGTCTGGTTTTGATTTGAGTCTTCTTAGTATGACTCTTTCAACAATCTTTCTGATTACTGGTAGTAAGCTCATTGACCTGTAATTCTGCGGAAACATATTGTCTTTTCGTGTCTTCGGGATTATGATGGACTTTCTTTCATAGGTTTGGAAACAGCCTGTATCTAAGTATCACATGTGTTACATTTGTTAGATAAGATATACTATAGCTTTTGCTGGTAGATACTTTACTGTTAGGAATTTCTTCTTGTTCACATTTTTCTTGATGATCGGATGTGAGTGAACACGTCTCATATTGTTCTTCAGACATTTTTTAATCTTTTTCGGTGAAATTAATATCTTCATCCTGGTGATAGTTTAATGTGCACTTACTCTCGAGAGTCCTTTTATCAACTCAGCTTTTTGTTCAGTGGAGCAGACAATTCCATTTTCTCCTTGTAGTAAAGATATGGGTTTTCTATAATTTCTTAATGCTTTTTGAAGAAAAGAGACAAAGAATGTCATAGTAGCAGATTTGCTTCTATATAATCCAGAGTGCACTAGTCATTGACTGACTGAAAGGTTTTGAATTTACCACCAATATATGAATAGATATTTAAACCAGCAAGTGGTATCGGATGAGATAATAGAATCGTTATAGATTGTTTCAACTAGTCTTACAAGGGAAAGTTTTAAGAAAACGGGGATCAGGAAAGCATTGAATTTCCTGGTTTCAAATTATAAGATATTCACAGTAGTCGATAAAGTGAGATATTATATAAATATGTCTGTGAAAATGAAGAATGATTTCTATCAACTATCAAACTATCAAAAGACGAAAACTTGAGTACTTTAGACATGTGATGAGAAAGCAAAAATACGCATTATTACAACTTATTATGCAAGGCAAAATCCGACTAAAGCGAAATGTGCGAAGACGAAGAATATTCTGGCTTAAGAACTTAAGGAATGGTTTGAATTCTGTAGTGCAGAACTTTTTAGAGCGGCAGTCAACAGAGTTTGCATAGCCATGATGATTTCCAACCTTCGATAGAAGATGGAACTTAAAGAAGAACAAGCTTATAATAGAATAATTGATTTAATTGATTTTATGCTTTTTTTAATTTTGTTATTCTATCTAACTTAGCTATAAGTAGAAGTATCTGACATAATGGTGTTCAGTTTTATAATGACTAAGATGAACATTTATTATCAATTTTTAAATAATTCCAATTATATACTTATTACACTGATCATTGTTAATTAAAAACTTTATTTAATATTACTTGCAGGATCCAGCGTGACAACATATTCTGTAACAAAAACTTTTGAAGCTGCAGACTCGTTATCGGAAAATTCCAACGAAAATTCAGTTGCCAAAGCAGGACAATCAACTGTAAATGGTAAGCGATAAAATTTTCGTTTAAAGAATTTAACCGTTAAAAACAATTGTGTTTGTGTTTGGCACGTGTTCAAAATTGCAAAAAATTTAATTTTTGAGTTAATCTGATGTGTTGCATTGATATGTTGCATTGTTTTATGGTTATTTGCTTGAGGATACTGTAAAATTGATTATATTTGTATTTTCAGCATAAAAACGCAGTTTTTATTACATAGCGAAAAAATGTTTGCAAAATTGTCGCGAAATCGATGGAATGTCAAATCTAGTTTTATATGAAAAATAAAACTGGTTTAGGATAATGATTCAACGAAAACAAAAAGTACCTTTTTGTTTATATATTCAACCTTTGTTTAATAACTTTTTTTCTAGAATAGCTGTCTTTCATAAGTTATATTCTTCAATTTTAGGAGAAAAGTCTTAAACAGTAAAAACTTACGATTGAGCACATTATGTGTCAACATTTATTATTATATACACACTATTATTACATTTTGACTCTGTTACCTTTAGCCGTAGCAGTGGGAGATCTCGATATTTGGCTTGGGGAACTTCCAACTTGGGGGAGGGGCGAACGTCCAGTGAAACACCAAACGAAAGATATAAAAAAGGTATATCCAAACTATATTACTATATCTGTAGAGTAGGGAGGGCGAATTATGTTTCACAGCACTTGACCCATTGTGCATCCTTCCAGGGAGCTGTCACCCTTAGTTCATTGTCCATTCTGTCATTTATAATAAGGTGGACAAGTCACCAGGAGACATCTCTCTTATGTGGGCAGGTATGGGCCAGGACTTGCCGAACGCGTACTCTTGTATTAACGATAACTCCGAGCATTCACATAGAACATGCTCTACAGTTTCGTCTTCTCGTTCACACTTTCTACATAGAGGTTTGTCTGCTAGCCCTAGTGTGTGAAGGTATTTGCTTAATTGACAATGACCAGTTAAAAAAGCAATTGTCAAGCGTAGGTTTTTCCTTGTCATTTCCAAGTAGTTCTTTAATGCTCACTCTTCAAGGTTACTTAGTGGTACCCTCGCTTTTTACGGTTTGCGTATGGGAGTAACATTTGACAATTTCCGCGATTGTTGTAGTTGACCAACCAAAAAGATCCCCAGGTCCTAAGTGTCTTACGGCTGCGGCTTCCTGGACAATTGGTCAGCAATGCGGTTGCCTTAATTCCTATTGTGTCCTTTAACCCACCTCAAGATGATGGTATCACCATCTGGAGCTTAAGTTAGTGACTCGTGGCACTCCATTACTAACCCTGATGTGAGACGTAATCTATTCAAGGGTAGTAGCGTTTGTCTGCTATCTGTGCATATCATTATAGGTTTCCCTGAAATACCTTTTTGGGTTATCCCTTTTGCGGCTATGGAGCAAAGCGACGAAACTATATAAAAGAAATAAATAATGGGTGTTTTTAATTTTTGACCTTTTTGAGAGGGAGGGATTTCCACTTTTCCGCTTCTGAGCCTTAGTTCAGAAAAAATTAATTCTGTCCATAAAAATAATTAATTAATAAGACGCGGATAACATAATGACGCCTAACTAGACAGTTATGAATATTTCTTAGATAGAAAGCTAAGATACAACACAACTGAAGAAACTGGAAACAAGAATAGTGTACTCGTATATCCTTGATTGAGTACAATATCAAGTATGATGTGATCAATATAAGCTTAATAATATCTAAATCTGTAAGACTCTTTTTAGATATAAGCGTACATAAACAACGGAAAACATAACTATTGAGAAACAAGCAAGCAAACCATAGTATTGAACCCAGCCTCTGAGACTTGCACACCCCAAGAATGACATTCGTGTGCTACAATTGCAACAAGCCTCCACCATCTGGCTTTTTGTTTCAGTACCCTTATTTGTCTTAGGTATCTGAATAGGAAACGTTCAGCGACGTTTCTGGGCACATTTTCAGTTTGTCTAAGGTAGTTGTTGTGGGCTGCTTGAAGCTTCCTTTTGTTGCTATGACTTATGTGTCTCCATGCAAGTGATGCATATGTAATTATTGATAGTATGATGCTATTTATCAATCTTAATTTTGTTTGTTTTGATAGCTAATTTGCTTCTTCTTCTTGTGATCCTCTTATTGTTGCTCTGGCCGTTGCTGTTTTCTTGACTCTCGCGTTAATGTGGAGTGTGAATCTTATACTTTGACCCTTTATTAGGTTATAATAGTGGTTATAATAGGACCATAATAGTGTTCCATATTTAGTTGGAACTATTCTTTTCTGGAAACTGAGCCTCCGGTTGTTTAGGTACGAATAAATGAGTTTCGTCATGGCTCCGCTGTATCCATAATCTCTCATATTGTGTGTCGATTCTTGTATATTGCTCTTGTGTATTCCTTGTCGTTAAATCTAGCTGCTATGTACTCTGTACCTCTGAGTAGTTTTAGTTCACTGTCAAATGCAATTCACCGCAATCCTAGCCTGTCTGTTTCTGATTGAAGTCTGGTTTGGATGACTAGCCCTACTATCTTGATGACTACTGGAAGTAAGCTAATCGGCCTGTAATTTTGCGAAAATATGTAGTTTTTTCCTGGATGATAACTGGTACTAATACATTTAATCAAATTGATCACATACTAATATCTAACCGGTGGACAACCTCCACAACAAATGTTAGAACTTATAGAGGTGCAAATTGCGATTCGGACCATTTCTTGGTTATATCGAAGATAAAACAAAGAATATCAATGGTAAGAAAAGAGAAAGGTGCCAAACAAAGAAAATAGAACACATATATGTTTAAAAATCTTAAAAAGAAAAATGAATACCAGCGGAAAATACAAGTAATATTAAATGAAAGAGAGGAACCAAACAACATTAAAGAAGAATGGAATGTTATCCAAAAGACAATTACAAATATGGAGAAGGAAACATTACATGAAACCTTAAGCAAAAGAAACAAGGAATGGTTTGACCAAGATTGCCAATAGATAGTAACTAACTTTAGAAGCTGTTGTTAGAAAACTGGATATAAATGGCTGTATTAATACAACATCAATGCAAATATGCGCATGTGCGGATGATGTTGCCATAATAAGTCGCAACAAAACTGTATTAAGCGAAAAAGTTATAGAACTGAAACGAGAAGCTGCTGCGTTTGATCTTTATATAAATCAAAGCAAAAGAAAATATACGGAGTGCACAAAATCCAATCAACATGAGAATCTGAAAGTAGACAACCATACCTACAAATATGCCTCCTTTTCCCTACCTAGGCTCAATAATAAATGACAACAACATCAGTTAAGAAATACAAATACGGATTCTTAGCGGTAATAAGTGCTTTTATGCATATAAAGACTCAATGAAAAGTAAGTTACTGAATCGTGAGTCTAAGCTTAGAATTTACAAAACAGTAATTAGACCAGTGGTCACATATGGATTTGAAACGTGGACACTCTCAACCACTGATGAAAATCAACTGAGAATATTTGAGCGCAAAATACTAAGGAAGATATTTGGACCAACCCAATGGAGCGATGGTTCGTGGAGAATTAAAATGAACCACGAGCTGGATGAATTAATGCAGAGCGCCGATATTGTCAGATTTGTAAATCACAAAGACTAAACCGGCTTGGTCACCTAAAAAGAATGCCAGATAATCGAGCTGTAAAAGTAGTCCAGAGATGGAAGCTCCAAGGAAACAGAACAAGAGGAAGGCCCCGTAAAAGATGAATAGACGACGTAGAGAGAGATCTTAAAACCATGAACATCAGGCGGTGGCGAAGGGAAGTTTCCGACAGGGCAGAATGGAAGAACATTGTTAAGCAGGCCAAGACTCAAATGGCGCTACCCTTATAGCGCCATTAGAAGATGTGGTTTTTTCCTGGATCCTGTACCATGATTATATGGGCTTCCTTCCATCGATATATACTTGCCTCACCTTGTCCGATCTGAGATACACGATATTAATGTTATGGGTATAGGCGACAAGTTGTATTGATTTGTTGGTTAGTAAATTGGGCCTTGTGAAATTCAGCTGTCTGATGACATATTTGAGAACCAGGTTGAACAACATCGGAATGCCAATCTGTACTTTGCACCCTACTGCTCTGAAAATATTTGTGGTTGTTGTGTTTAGCCACGTACGTAGATTTTTTAGCCAGGACTTTCTTTGTCTTCCTGCTCCTTGTTAAGATTTTACTTTTTTCTGTAAAATCAGTTGCAGCAATCCATATATTTTGTTATTCCTCACGATGTGATCGAGGTATTCCATTTTGGAGGTTTTTTTATGGTGCTCTATAACAGTTCTTTTTTTGTTTTTATTCTTAATGAAGGTCAAGGAGAAATAAATAAAAAAAATTACACATTACACTACTCTGGGCACGAAAAACAAGGTCAATATGGAGTTGCATTTATAACTACAGAAAAAATACAAAATAATATTATGCAATTTAAACCAATACATGAGCGCATGGCATACCTGAGAATTAACGCCAAACCATTTAATATATCCATCATAAACGTATATGCACCAATTGAAAGTGCTGTAGCAGAGGAAAAAGATAACATCTATGAGAAACTGAAACAAGAAATTGAATCTTTACCCAAAGAAGACACAATTCTGGTAATGGGAGATTTTAACGCTCAGATAGGCAAAGAAGACTACATTAACCAAGTTGCAGGTAAATATACATTACATGAAAAAACAAATGATTATGCAACTTAGCAACTAGCACCAATATGATTGTCAGTAGTACAAAATTTGCACACCCTATATACCACAAAGTAACATGGGTCTCACCAGACCAAAAACATGGTCACAAATAGACTATATACTCATCACAAAGAGAAAGCAAACATCGATAACAGACGTGAGAACATACAGAGGTGCACATGCAGACACAGACCATTTCATGGTTACCGCAACGTTAAGACAAAAAGTCAAAAGAACGCTAAAAAACAAGACAACAAAAGACAAATGGTACATAGAAAAATTAAATGCTACAGATAGAAGAATTAAATATGCAGA